ACCAGCCCATTCATAAAACGGGACGAGTTGTTAAATTTGACTCATTTTATCAAAACGGGGCGGGCTGGCCCGGCCCATTTTGGGCAGGCCAATAGCGGGCTAGCCCGTATTTTTAGCACTAAAATATATACATTGAACTATAAAATTAAAATAAAAAAGTGATGTAAATTGAGTTTGTCTAATTTGACTTAACTCAATATGAAATGGCTTATAATAAATAAATCGGCCCACACTTAAATGTTATTTAAAAAAATTATAATTAATTACTGTAGTTATTAAATTTATTTTTCTAAGTTTACTTAATGTTATATTAAAATATGTATTCATTTATTTTAATAATAATTAATTATAAATATTGTAATATAAAATAATTTAAAATTTTAATACAAGCTAATTAATAATTATTTATTTTAAACTATTATTTTTTGGTAAAACACTTAATAAATATTTATTCCTGATAACATGTAAGAGGAAGTAACTTTTTTTAAGCCCTCTTTTTATTCATACATAATTTAAATTTAATTATAAATTCAAATGCTTATTTTGAAATTTCATATTATATGATATGTGATGCAGTACATTTCAGGTACGTACCTGAGCTATGCTATTGTATGAATGAGATGTGAGGTCAGAATTGGAGTGTAATGGATGTGCTTCTTTTTACCCATTTTGGTATAGAAGCATTAATTTTATAATTCTATTTAAATCCATTTTGTGCAATAAGTTTCACGTATATAAAGAGGATAATAAAAAAGCTTGACAAGCCTTGTACCAAAAAAATAAAATAAAATAAAACTTGACAAGCAGCCCCTGTGATAGGATTAAATGAACAAGTGCGATTGGTTGTACCTTCCGGAAATGTGTCAAATTGTTAAACTACTACACACACTATCCATGCTTTAGGACCCATCATTGAAGCATTAATTTTGATGCGCGAGTGTTGTGACCCACACTTTTCCAATTGCATGTTTTTATTCATAAATAAAATTGTAAATTATATATCTTTTTGAAGGGATGATTAAATTATGCTTATTTTTTATTTAAAAAAAATTATATTCTCTTTTTTATGAGATATTAATATATGTTATATTTTTATTTATTGTATTGTAAATCAGCCTCTCGCATTTCATTTATGATCAATCCAAGAGATATTGAATTGGACTACATATGATTAAGCTTAGTCCCATTGAAGTTTGGAATGACTTTACAACGGAATATTCTTTGTCATGGGATAGTCCTGCAGGATGGTTGTGTTGTAGTTGGAGAGCTTTGCTCGACATAGACAAATGGTCATGTACTTGTAAGATACTCTAATGCTCAAATTAGTATTTGATTAATGAGTTTAAGTTATAATGGATAAAATTATTATACTTTAGTTTTGAGCCTTCATTATATAATAGTGAATGAATTGTTTATGCCATTTAAGTATGGTAGTATTTAATCTTATTGGTGAACTGAGATGACTTTTGCAACCAATCATATGAGCGGAATGCCTATTTGTGAGCTATATCATTTAGGCATAACTGGAATCACGTGTCTGTCTCTTAGCCATTGGTTATTAAAGAGACTATGAAACTCTAAAATGCTATTGTCGTAGCTGTACATATGCGGGATGACATGTACTAGAGATGAACATATTTCCTTATTCCTAAAGTTTTTGTTATTGAGCTTCTTAGGTCATGAATGAATTGGAACCTATATCCCCTCAGTATGGATACATATCAATTTCATCTTCTAAAATCTAAAAACTAATGATAAGAAGTTTAAATTAGTTATCCCATACATTGAGAGTTGTAGAAAGAGACAAAAATACCAGTAGGAAACTATTTATAGTTGAGCACTAAGATTCATTTATATTGAAATATATTACAGTGTAGCATACTTTTATTTTTTAGTGGAGAAGCGTGTAATTTTTTAAATAAAAAACTACAATATAATTTAATCGTTCCTCAAGAAAATAGAGTATTTACCCTAACTGAAAAACTACACAGTTCGGGTTGCAAGCTTAGTTGCAATAATTGGTAAGAACACTTCAAGGGAGATATTCGACGAGCTCAAGCAAAAAATGAGCATCAAATGAAAGGATGCGTTCTATGAATGAGAATAACAGGTTATTTTGTCCTCGTATGTGTTTTAGTAGGCCCGACTTCTTAAAAAATTAAGCCCAGCCCAAATAGGGAAAAGAAGGGATAAACAGAATTCACTGTAGCATGGTCGCTGAGAGATGAATTATTACGGTGTTCACTTTTTTATATAAATATTTTGATGAATTCTAAAATATTTATTAGTTTAACTAGTAACTCGTAAATATTTGATAATTCATTTATATATATATATATATATATATATATATATATATATATATATATCCATTGGCGGATTGAGTATTGACCGCTGTCCTTTCCTAAATTTTAATTTTTTTTATTTTATGTATAAAATAATATTTCTTAATAATAATAAGTTATTAGTATTAATAATTAGTCCCTCTTTCAAAAATATTTATAATAATTAATATTTTTTATTAGTTTTAATAATAATAATAGTTTTTAAAATTATTATTTTCACACCCTATTATAAAAAATCCTGGGCTTGTAGCTCAAGTTCATGACTTCACGTAAGAAAATTTTCTGAATATGACGCCGAAGCTTGGAGCTTCTATACCTGCTTACCCATCAACTAATGTTAACAAAAGGAAAAGTTCGGGAAAATATAATTTGAATTTAATTTTGATGTATGGTTAATATAAAAAAATTTACACTGTCATTTAACTAAGCATTATGAAATTATTGAAAAAATTAATTATCATAATCATTATTTAAAGAATCTAACTCATTAAATGAAGTACCAATAAAAATGTCATTGAATAACTGAACAATGATGTGCTTGATAAGTTCCTTGAGACAATTGTAATCGACTTTTATCAGTTGAGCTAAAACCCCGTTCATATCTTCCATTTCTATGTTTCTTTTAGATGAGAATATATATCTTCCATTTCTTAACTTTCTATGGATTATGACCTATGAATGGACCTGTTTTCATGATAGATTCGTCAAACAAAGTCTTTATTTACTGAAAATGACATGCGGCTTCCACTTGCGGATTCAAATACACAACCATAAGCCTTGTTAAAATGTATTATTCATTCATTAAGTAGTGTACTAGCAAAATTGACAAGTGAAGAAACATAAAAGCTGCAGCAGTTAACTGGACACACAAACTTAACATATTAAACAAGAAAATGATTTGTTTACAAACTTTTTTTACAAATTACACTAAGTATGACTAGTCATACACTCTTGATTGAAATATGACCGGTCATACTTAGTGTAGTTTATAAGAGTTTGTAAATAAAAAGTTTGTAAATATAATCTTTTCCTGTTAAATACACCGAAAGGTTGATAAGCAGTAATATAGAACATCAAAGCCACAAAATCTGAGGTTATACAAAATAAAAATGGTTTGACAGAAGAATGAAACAAGCACTAGAGAGGAGGAGGAGGCCCTGGTTCGAATAGGGGAGGAAAGCAGCATCTAAATAAACCACAACAGCACAGAAACCATAAGCTGAAAGATATATAACAAAAAGAACACAGGGTCAGTTTCATATTTTTTTTTTTCTTCCTATTGTTTAGTTTAATGTGCAGTAGAATAATTTAAGCATAGAGAAGTGCCTTACCATGAATCCAAGAATCCTCCACCAGGGGAAGCTGGACCTAGCAATGGTGTGCTTGGAGGAGGAGGTGGATCCATCACCTACTTACTAAAGTTGCTTCTACAGTTCTACCACTTACACAAATTAAGTCACATAGGTTTCTTTTTATGTATAAGTTGGGTACCATCCTTTCCTCAAGTCACACTTCTTATCTACCATTCAAAGGAAGATTCAAAATCACAAATGCCACCCCCAACTAACTTATAAACTATGTTGAGCCAATCGTAATTACTCCTTAAAAGGAACTCACGGGCAACCATTTCAATTTCTTTGACTTGGGACAGTGAACGTAGAAATGTACATAATCTCACATGTGTGATGTGTCTTTCTGTATAAACACGTTATATCAATCCCCCATTCATTGGTTAGCACTCACACCAACCAAAAAAAAAAACATGAGAACTACTTGTGTCTCAACTGACAGTTAGACACACCAAAATTTATGACAGCACCATAAAACTGTCTTTATTGAATTCAAAATGGCTTATACTTGTTGAAATATGAATGTTGAGGAATATAAAATTATTAATGCAGCCTCACCCAACAGTTTAAGTTTTTGGGTTGAATTAGTTCTTTACATGTTATCAGAGTCTCGTATCCCGGGTTCGATCCTCGCCGCTCCCCACTTTCTTTCAAAGGAAATTTCTTTATTCACATAGGTAGGTGGGCCTGTGCATTGTCCACTCTTCAAGCCCAGTGGACTCTCCTGTGAGGAGGCGTGTTGAGATATATAAAATCATTAATGTAACCTCACCCAACAGCTTAAGCTTCTTTTGAGTTGAATTGGTTCTTAACAATGAATATCTTCCAAAGTGAACAAACCTAAATTTGATTTTATTTATGACCCTGGCATCATAGTCAGGAGATGATTGTGGGTAACGGCGTCTGTAATAAGAAAGTTCAATTCAACTAGTTCATAGCTAGGTCAGTGCTACTACTAATTATCATTGCAAAATACTTATTTCTATGACCAAAAACCTTCACTGTGATTGTACAAGTATTCATATCCGATTCTTCTCCAAATAAAGTAGAATCCGAATCACATATGCTTTTCTGTACAACAATACTGCCAACATATTTATGTGCTTATCTAAAACAAACATATGCGCTCATTCTTTCAAAGGACACCGTAAAAGATTTAGATTAACATATTGTCAATATCAGATAGCATCCTCTAAGATATCCCACTGAGACATACACAACATAGGGTAGTTAGTACAAGCTGCAGAGCTGTACCAAAAAGTCCACAATACAAATTCCTTAGACTCGTCCTGTCAGGTACATGTTGTCATGGGAAATTGACGTTTGTCATGCAAAATGATTCAAACTGAGGCTCGGTTAAATCTACCATTTCCTCTTCTGTTGCATGCCAGCTCTCACCTTTTGTAGAAAAGAGGATCAAACTCTTCATATACTCAGTTGAAATTGAAACTGTATCTACATCTTTATTCTCGTTTCCAACAAGAAGCTTCTGATCAACACCTTGTAGCGGTAAATTACGAGCTGAAAATCTACTTGATGGAGCTTGACCTTGCTTCTCTGGTTCCTTTACATGCAAAGAAAGAAAGAAAAAGAAAAGGGTAAGGATATGGTTTAACTTTCATGCTATGAGAGGGTGATCTATCATGGCAGCTGATGTAAATGTAACAATCAGACAAACGAAATACACACGTCAACATCAACAGCACCTTTAACTCAAGCACAAACGAAATACACAAATCTTAAAAAAATTTGAAAAAATAAGAAACATGATCAAACTAGAACACTGAATTTAGTTAAGAACTGAGGACATGACAGTGAATGTGTGCACCTGAAAAATGCCAACTGGAATGTTTCTTCTCCTTTTATATTTGCCTGGGGAAATACTTGAAAGAATTTGAACAACTTCCCTCATAGTTGGTCGAGTGTCAGGATCCAACAGCAAGCACTCCTTTGCTAAATACGCCATTATCTGCACCTCTTCTTCAGGGAAGTTTCCTTTCAATTTTGGATCAACCAACTCCTTCATTAATCGCTTACTATCCTGTAAGCGAGGAGTGGCCTAAAACACAAGAAGTTTGAGAGTGTCCATAACCTCTTTCTTAGTATAATTCATTAAGCAAGCTATGCAAGAAGTTCAAACTAACACAATCTCATCTTAAAGATGAGATACATTATAAGGATGTTAAAGACATGATGATTAACAAAAACACAACCTCATGAGAAATTTGGTGAGCACCAAATTGAGGACACATAGAAAATTCTCCAAATATAAACAAAATACAAATTCAGGAAAATGTAATACGGATAATTAATTTACAATACCCATATAACAAGGCATTCTTCTTTGCCTGCAGATTTATGGATTGGTTGCCGACCACTTAGAAGCTCAAGAAGAACCACCCCAAAACTGAAGACATCTGACTCAAGAGAAGCTCTCCCTATAATTGCATACTCAGGTGCAAAATAACCAAATGTCCCTTGCAATATTTCTGGAGTATCTGAACAACTGGGGAGGTCATCAGCTATCAAGTTTTTAGCCATACCAAGATCAGTTATCTGCAATTTGATTATTTCAAAAAGATTGTAAAAGTACATTTTATGATTTATTTAAGTGACAACTACCACCTACGGTTTAATCATTAACTCTATATTTATTCAAGAAACATACTTCTGCAGATTTACAAAAGAAAGTTAACAATACAAAAGACATTAAAAACCACAAAAAAATTAGAATTTGCTTTCAAGTAAAAGCATTCACATGGTCAGATTCCTACGTGTATCCAGTTATATTATCACTTTTTAAGTAATTATCCATTTGTTGGAAATTAGAACCATATAGAATAACCAAGACTCATACTTTTGCTTGCCAATTTTCATCCAGAAGAATGTTTGTCGATTTGACATCTCTGTGCAGAATTCTTGGAGCAGCTGCTTCATGAAGATACTCCAAGCCCCTTGCAGCTCCTAATGCAATTGTAACACGAGTAGCCCAGTCCATATTTTTTCCAAAAACTCCATCCAAACGGTCCCTCAAATTGCCATTAGGCATGTACTCAAACACTAGTAACCTCAGAACATTTTTTCCTTTTAATTCTGAGCAGTATCCAATCAACGGCACCAGATGACAATGATGAAGTCTAGACAATAGTTCAATCTGAACAAAACGAAAAATAAAAAATTGTTAATTAAGATGAATGGTTTAGAGAAAGAAAAATGTTTTAGGCTCATTTTTTTTAGAGTAAAGACTTTTTTTGATCCCTAACAAAAAACACGGTCCCCACTTTAGTCCCTTACAAAAATAAATTAGTCCGTTAGTCTCTAACAAATTCAAGGTGGATCCATTTTAGTCCTTTTGAGAGACTAATATGGGTCTTTTTTGAATTTGTGAGGGACCACGATTTCAACTAAATGGGTTCACTTTGAATTTGTTAGGAACTAATTGACTAATTTATTTTGTAAGGGACTAAAGTGGGGACCGTGTTTTTTGTTAGGGATTAAAAAAGATATTTACTCTCTTTTTTATCTAGACACTAGGAACATTATAACATAGCATGATCAACCAAACAAAACTGAATGTCACAAGATTAGTTACAACCTCTGTAAAAAATTCAGAGTCTGCTTCAGGCCCTACTTGATGTTTTAGTCTCTTGACTGCCACATTACTTCCATCTTTCAGCCGACCACGGTATACATAACTACTTCCACCTAGTCCAATTAGGTTGGAAGCTGAAAAGTTTTCAGTGGCATTTTCCAGTTCAGCAAAAGAAAATTGAATAATGTTTCCATGAAAAATTTCTCTTGGGCTCCCAAACAAGAAAGAGGCCTTCAGAAAGCATCCTAAATAAAGAACAGAAAAGGGTAATTAAGAACCAAAGAAAAATGGCAAAATAACCGAAGAACTTTGGACTTTACATATAAAATTCGGACAGGTTGAAACAAATACACTTTAACTAAGAAATTAGCCTCGGAGAATGGTGAATACAAAACCAACTTGCCTGCAATATGACTAATGGGAGAATTTATAGTAACTTTTGTTTCAGGCACAGAAGAAGTCCTATGACTAAGTAAGTTGCTGGGACTACTATAACTTGTTTCCTTATCTGATGAGATCATTGGTGATTGAATAGGACCTCTCTCCCTTCGCCAGACATAGCATACAACTGAGGCAAGAAATGCAATAGTTGTGCATGTAACACATATTAATAGAATAACTACAACAATCTTGGTCGAAATGTGTTTCTTTGAACCTAGTGGAATGCGGGCAATTCCTGCAGAACACTCAAAAAATCATAAAATTAGTTTCAGAGTACCTTGATTTAAGAAAAAGCCATTGATTTTTTATAAGAAGGTAAGAGTTTATGTCATCATCAATTAGACATAAATATGTTGAAAAGAGAAACATTCTTCATGATAAGAAGTGATTTGTCAACATCATAAATATGTATAGAGTTGAAAAAAGATTTTAAAATTGCGGGCTGCAGCCGCAATTTTGATCCAAATATTGAAGTTTTGGAAGTTTCTGCAACCATGATTGCGGCCACATTAACTGAATTTTCCCGCAATTGTCCACAATTTCTGTAATTACCATGCAATTACAATTTAAAAACCAGGGAAAAATGTTTGTCATTTTAAATGACACAAAGTTATGTCATTTTTAATGAAACTACGTCGTTTTGGTAAGTTTTTACATTTTCTCTCCTCCCTTTTCTTTTTATTTCTAATTTTATAAATTATAAAAAATGACAAAACACTCCAAAACGACGTAGTTTAATTAAAAATAACACAAAGTTGGGTCATTTAAAATGATAAACACTAAACCCATTAAACCAAAAGACAAATATTTTACATATGTAAAGATGCCTTTTTGTTCTGTACATAATAGTAACTGGTTTAACATTAGTCCATCTAATTCAGTTTTGTGAAGCATCAATTAGTGAACTTTCAAGATGGAAGTAAGTGAAAGAAGGAGAGATACCCCAGTTGCAGTTGCAGGCATTAAAGCAATAAGGATTACGGCCATCTGCTGTCACTTTAGGAAACCCATTCGGATCACATATGCATGTCCATATGGATGCACCCTCTTCAGCATCTACATGGAAGGTAAAGCAGTTACTGTACTATAGTCAGGAAGTGATCACAGTCTCCCTATTTCAATTATTGCATTCTTGTTACTAGCATATTGAATAGTGACCATAACTCTACATTACCATTTAAAAAATGTAAAAAATTGGTTGAAAAGAGTTCTTCAGATTAAAATGCCAATGTTTAAACTTGAAAATTTTACAACATTACATTTGTAGAATCAGGCTTGACCCATACCAACAAATTGAAACTTGTTAGTAGAGGTAACTTTTATGAATTTTAGTTACCAGTCAACTTGCAAAAATACATTCATTACATACAGAATGGCAAAGCTCAAGTTAAATAATCAACTGAAGAAGAAAGAAGATAAAAAAAGAAAGGGGGAAAATTTATCACCAAAAGACTCTTGTTCTTCGTGCCAATAAAAAATTACCAGTATACCTGAATGGCAATCACATGACTTAGAACAATTAGCAAGAGAGTATCTCAGGTTCCCTTGGAAAGAAGAACATCTGCACTTCCACTTGTTTAGGCCAGAATCAGATGATTCCCCTGCTGGTAACAACAAGAAGCAAAAAAAATAAAAATAAAAATAAAAAGGTATTTTGGCTCATTTGGATTTTACCTATGACTGAGAAGCAACATGTAAAACACAGAACCTTTATACTAAAATAACATAATACAATGCCCTATATATAGAATGCAGGATGCAGCTATGTTCTATTTTTTCTAGTTTAAAGAGGCAGATGCCTAAATATCAAAATACAAGGTTTGCTACCAGTGACAACAATTAGAGAGTCAATTACCAAATGTTTTTTTAAAACTTTAATACTTACCACAAAATGAGTGCTGAATCAAGAGAAAAAATGAAACTAAATATCACTTATTTAATGTTGGAAGAGTAAAGTGTTCATGGGATGCTCAGCATATCAAAGCTTCTATATAATTTTTATTTAAGCAGGCAAGCGCCTAAAAAACAGTACACAAGGTATACTACTGATGTCAGTTGGAAAACCAAATACAAAATGGATTATAATGGTGGTACTAACCACAAAATGAGTTCTGAATCCAGAGCAAGCTAATAGCAATAGCAACAGCAACTTTGAGTTGAGGCTTCATTTATTCCAACCCCTACACTACAAGGTAAAGAAAGGAAAGTTTAGTGCTAAACAAATCTAGGGGCAAGAATTTTCCTCATGAACCTGTTAAGGGGGACAGACAGTCTTCAAATTCTTCTGGGTCTAATCATCATTTGTGGAAACAAATAGTTAAACTAGCCACAAGAAAGATAAGCTCCAGGCAAGCAATTCAAAAACAGGCAACAGCAACCCCAGGTTTCAGCTTCATTTATCCCTATGCCTGCTGCAAAAAATGAATGACAATCATTTATTTCATACTGAATAAGGACAAAGGAACTCTATAGGTATGACCCCAATTCTGTGGACAGTGTATATAAATAAGGTAAAATGGGTTGGAAGGAAGGAATGAACGTTAAGCCAACAAACACCTGAGTTAAAGGTTATCCACCCCAAGTACCAAGTACTGAAACAAAGATGAGGTGACGGGAGTAAGGACTATATTGACTAAGTAGCATAGGATAGTTAATGTATGTTGATGAATAACAAGTATAGTGGACCCATAATTGAACATCAATCCACAACTGATATGCTAAAACATAAAACTTTCAATTGAAAGCAGACGCAGACGTGCAAATGCACCGATGGTTTGTTACATCAGGTAATAAATATAGGCAGTGACAGCTTGAGAATTAGTTTCCAAAATGGTGTTCAAAACCTATGAATGGAATGAATTCGATCATTATAGAAAGAACCATCCTAGTTTCCCCCTGCAGACTCTTGAGAATGAGAAGTTTCGTCTGAAAGTTCTGAGAAAAACTAAATGTTTGAAGTTTTGTTTTAGCAGCAGCAAAAGCTAATATATCTTAGCAGAGTCTTTATCTCTGTGTGTGTGTGTGTGTGTGTGTGTGTTTTGTTTCTATTTCTGGTTTTCTTGTTTTGGAAAGAACTACTAACTAGTTCAATGATCTGAAAGTGAAATAAAGGTAAACAAAATGAAATTTTAGAGTAATGGAGGGAACTCATCTTCACCAACCTCCATGTTTTAATCATTTCTTAGCATAATGTGATCTTGGAAATGCAAGCTAACATAAGTTACAAACTTACAATGGCATTGGGGAGTCCAAAATATACCATTATCTCAATCCAAAATCTTAAAAATATATGTCTAGTACTTTTTTATAGTTCTCACTTTATCCTTTATTAATGTATGTGGAACTTCCCACTCATACTTAATTTCACTTCCAACAATATAGACACAACCAATGAATCTATCCTTTAAAAAACTCACCCGTATAAAAGAGGAAATGAAATGAGACTGAAAAAGGATCCATTTAGTCTACCACCTTTCTGAAAGCAACCCCTTTGCTTACTGAAAGGAACCCTTTAATACCTTCCAATTCCATTCATCCGAAACTAAAATAAAGTAATAAACCACCTTCTCCTCTGTACACTCGTCTCCAAGGTGAAGATGCGCTCCCCCTCAACACAAGGAACAAAAACAGTTTTTTCTAAAAAACAAAAACAAACAAGAAAGAATGAATAGGTATAGGACTACAGGCTATAGTCACACACTCACACACCATCTCTATTACATTTTTCCTACATTTTATTTTACTAGAAATGTTATATTTATAGATTTTTTATTTATAAATTATATTACGTGTGATCGGTAAGAGACTCTTAAGCAGAGTCTTATTGGTTAGACGTAATATAGTTTGTAAAAAAAAAGTTTGTCAATATAACCTATTCTTATCTTATTTTTTAAAATTTAAGTGAGAGTAATAAAAAATCCTATATTAAAAAGTAAAGGACTAAGTATATCTAGCATATATAAATGAAAATGAATCATAAATCCAATTTTTTCATATTTTAGACTGAGATGTGGGCTTTTTGACCCTTTTGCCCCTCATTAATTAATTAATAATCAATTTGCCCCTGATCCAGAACTATCCACCAACTTGCCCCCTTTTAGTCGACTACCTTACTTTTTTAGTCGAGCAAATGGTCAAATTCAGAAAGTGGACTACCGCAAATTTAGTCGACTAAAAAATCATCTTAATCGACTACATTTTTGGGATATTTAGTCGATTAAGTAACGATATTTAGTCGACTAAATATCGACGGATTTGTTTTTTAAAACCCCCCCCATTCGGCAGAGGGGGAATAGGAAACCTAATCGACTAAGGAGGCAGCCCAAACCCCAAATCCGCAGGAGCAGCTGAAGAACGCCCCAAATCCTTCCCTCAGGCGTGTGGATTGCACCAAAATACAGTCCAAATCGTGAAATCTCAAGGATAGGTAAGGTTTCTTAACTTGCATTGTGTTTTAGGTTTAGGAATTTTTTTATTTGTCTGCTGTCCGAATTTGTGAACTCTAATCAAAGCGTTTGTTGTAGGTTTTGTAACCCTAATCTAGTAAGGTTTATTTTTTTGCATTGTGTGAATTTTTTTGTTTGAAAAGTTTGTATGTGGCAAAAGTTTGCTTTTGGTTTACAGCCCTTATGTTGCAAGTTTTCATTACCATTATGACATGTTTCATATAGTTAAATGCTGACATGTTTCATTGTAGGTACCCTAAACAAATGACGGGCCGCAGAAGACCAAGCGATGAGGGCAATGAGTCACTTGAGAGACGCACCAAGCATAGGCAAGAGCGGCCTTCTTCGTCAAGGCGACAAGACGAAGAGCCTGATATTGTTGACCTCCCGTATGGGTATCTGTTTGAGGACGACCCTGTCGTCCACGCTTCATTCGTACGTGACCATTTGAACCGGCCGTTATGTGCTCCAAAATCTTTGGATACAGCCTTTTTTGATAAGGAGGGATTTGAAATTGTGGGGGTGTTGGAGGCGGCACATCTGAGGGTGTTGGCCGAGACCCTATGTCCGTATTCAGAGCTTATGGTGCGGGCCTTCTACCATAACCTCAGCTACGTACAGGGCGAGCTGAAGTCGAGGGTCTGTGGAATAGAGATCATCATGACGGCACCTGCATGGTTGGAGATACTCGGCTATGATTTTGACTCTTCTCAGACTGTGGCGTATGACGCTGATAGTGGTGTAGTACTTCCATGATATGTACGAGAAGATGCCGTGGAGGAGCAGAGAAGAGTCTGTGGGGAACACTTGCACTATACGGTGGGGTTGCTTTCTGTGGAGTCCCGTATACTACACTATGTCATCACCCACGTTCTGTTTCCGCGATCTTTTAATCATTCCAGGGTGTTGGAACATGACATTCCCATTATGTGGGCTATCCGACATGCCCAGATGGTGAACTGGAGGCACTATATCTGTTGGTTTATGTTTAAGGCCAAACATAAGGGTCATCTTCCATACGTCTGTCTGGTACAAAGGATATTGGTTCACTTTGGTGTTCCCATGGAGACTGAGCTGTTGAAGAAGACCACGGGCTATAATTGCAAGTTCGGAAAGCGTCTATTGGAGCAGTGCAAGATTACTAAGAACACAAGATCGGGTGTGTGGGAGTTCAGTGGTATGCCCCAGGTTGAGGTTCCTTATGTTGCCCCAGATGACCATATTGTTGAGCCAGAGGTGGAGGAGGAGGAGGAGGATGTGGCTGAGGTTGAGGAGATAGCTGAACCTGAAGGTGGATTTTCACTGCGTGATGTCATGAAGGGCATAAATGCAATGACAAAGAAGATAGGAAAGATGGCGCTGGCACATAAAAAATGGAGAAAGAAAGGGAATGAAAGGTTTAGACACATACAGGGAAGGTTTAAGGGTGTGGAAGACAGGCTTGCTCGTCTGGAGCTTGCAAGAGGTGGGGAGGTAGCTGAGGCAGCAGGGGATGGAGGTCATGTGTCAGATGAGGACGACTCGGAGACGGACATAGACGGGGATGAGGAGTAGATTTAGGGTTTACATCATGTTATTATGTTTTGTTCATGTATTTCCTTTAAGTCGTTGATGTCCCGTAACTTTTTTTAATGAATGCAGAATTGTTATGTTTTTTGGATCTATGTTATGTTGTGTAATAAATTGAATTCCATTTCAATATTGTATAACTTATGAATGGAACCTTTTTAGCAATTTGATCATCACAGTACAAAACAATATTGAACAGGTCACATTCATCCATAACACATCACAACAAATCAGTATATGTGTTTAAAAAGGCTACATCTTGTATTGTTAACCATAAACAAACGTTATGACAACATACGACTTTGTTTTAGGAATTTAATGTCCACATGGGTTTTTTGACTCGGAAATTATGCTCCCTAAGTCACACTCCCTTAGTGGATCAGTGTAGAGTGGAAACCAAGGGCAAAAAACATGTGTAATTCGGATTTGGGGTCCTAAACCAACAATTTAGTCGATTAACCTGTACTGTTTTAGTCGACTAAATTGTTGGTTTAGGACCCCAAATCCGAATTACACATGTTTTTTGCCCTTGGTTTCCACTCTACACTGATCCACTAAGGGAGTGTGACTTAGGGAGCATAATTTTCGAGTCAAAAAACTAAGATGAAGTTAAATTCATACATGGTTTACGTACTGTGTCAAAACGTTGGTGTATGCGCACCAAATCTGCGTTGTAACAATTTAAACACATATAATTTATTAATACAAGCATCATTACATTAACCCGTTCATTTTTTTCAAATACAAATATCATGACATCAAATGCAAACATAGCACCGTCATTACATTCAAATACAAACATCATGACATCAACCCGTTCATTTTTTTCAGTTACATGACATTACATCAAATACAAGCATCTAAAACCATAAATGCCTATAATGTTAAACCATCAAAACATTAAGCCCCTCCCCTGCTTCCTCCACAATTCATCTTGTATTGGGAATCCTCATAGGACATGTACGTTTGTTGTGACCAATTTGCTTACACAGGCTACATCTACTCTGACTGCTTGTCGGTTGAGACTCAACCCAATCCATCTCATTCTGTATCCTTGACGATTTGGGTCTTCCTTGTGCACGTACCAAAGATGCATTTAGGATAATGGTTGGGCCATCAATTTGTGGAATCAACAACTCATTGCCCATTGGATA